ATGCAAACTCTACCCAGAAAGGTCCCCGGACCGGGATTTGAACCGGTGACCTTCTTGCTGAGAGACATCAGCTCTACCAGCTGAGCCACCGTGCCGCCGATTCTCATTTAGCACTCGTATTTCAGAACAAGAGGTCTTTTGTAAGCATTTCTACCTTGACTCTGTTGACCTGCAGCGGGCAGTAACCACTCAGTGGCAGAAGCCCTGCTTCTCTTCTTAGATGCTCTCCCTGAGCCTGTGGTTCCCTTCTCTTTTTACCAGCAGTGCCTTGAATGCTGCTCCAGTGCGATTCAGTGTGAGAAAGTAAGTAAATCAGCTCGCAGAGTTTTATTTATTTATTTTAATTAATAAATTTGTTCCAAAATGTTGATTTAAAAATTTCTGACTGATGATAATCTTTTGCTTTTAGGTTATTTCCATCCTACCTCAGTGCCATAAAAATGTGTTCAATTATATAGCTGCCTTTCTCCGTGAGTTGTTGAAGAATTCAGCTAGCAATCGATTAGATGTCAGCATTTTGGGTAAGATGAAGGAAAGTTCATGTCATAGGGAGTGAATGTTGATCATGTGAAGTGAAGCTGTCAAACAAAATGAAAGTAAAAAATAAAAATGTTGTGTTTTATTTTTATAACACAGAATAATAGAAAATATTTAATGTTGACATGTACAAGTCAGTTCTGTCTTTGCATCTAAGGGGAAAAATATCACTTTTACAATTAAAATGATTCCTTAGCTGTGCATCATTTATAATGATATTTTCTTTTCTGTACAGCCACCATTTTTGCCTCTCTGCTTCTGAAATCGTCTACRAAGCAGGATCTTGCAGAAAAGAGGAAGACCCAAGAGTTCTTTCAGCATTTCCTGACCTAAGGCTCCTCCTAGATGGACACTGTTGCTCAAGCCGAACACTAAAAATGACAAAGCCCAGTATTTGACAGTGATTTCACAAGCGTATAACATGAAGCATAATTGCAGAAGATTATGAGCTCAGTTTCAAAATATTTTTGTGATCTATCATGCACAGTTTATTGTACATTATTGAACATCTGTAGCTGCGTTGTTTAAATGTGTGTATATTTTATTTAAAGAATAAGTTGTATTTTATTGCTCTTCATGTTTTTATATAAAGATGTTGAAATCAAAATGTGTTATTTTATATAAATTATTTTTCCAACTAGGAAGTCACCAGCATTGGCACTATAAGCCTRTAAATAATTTCTTCACATGTAATATCTGTCGCTTTGAAAACATTTCTACGTTTTTAGTTATTGTTAGTAAATTTTTATTTCCCATAATCCATCACGAATCTGTGACGTTGCACGGTAACCCACTGAAGAGGAGGAGATAGGAAGAAAGTGTTTACAATCCTGGGCTTAATAGGGTTTTACATTTAACAAAGGTAAATTTATTTTTGTCATTTCCTTTAACTCTGGCTTGTGTAAACCGTCTTATTGATTAATAACAAACTTGTTATTCCTGCCGTACGGTGGACATGTAATGTCAACTAGCGACATGGTTAGCGTTGATAGCTAGTATATTAGCTTAGCCACAAGCTAAATTGTTGTAGCAAATCTCTATAAAAAAATATGTGGTAGTTGGCATCGGTTGCGTAATGCTAACAATTTAACAATAAATTTGCAATTGTTAACCAACTATTAAGAGTCCGAACTATGAGTTGTGTGTTCGCATTTAAGGTAATAAAGCTTAAAAAATACAAAAGACGTCAAGTGTTATACAACTGAAGGTTGTGAATAATCTGAAACATCAAATATGCTTTTTAGCTTGCTAACGGTGTTAACATCAATACTAACATTAGTTGAAATCACTGCGCTGTGTTGTTTATACGCTAATTTTCCAGCATACACACTAGTGTGTTTTGCACTGTTGATGAGAAGCCTAGTACCTGTCATATTTAGGTGTGTGTGGGGAAATATAAAGCTGTTAGAGTCTTGCATCGGCGCTAAAGCTAATTGTGGAAGCAAACTGGACGAGTTTTAGTTGAGTATTCGTTTCAAGTTGTGTTTATTCCCTTCCGAAACCCCACATCAGTCATTATAGCATTCGGAAAGTTCCAGATGCTTTTAGTTACTCTGAACAGATTGAATTTGCCCATTAGGTGCGAAAGATCATTGCCAATTATGATTAAATGAAAGTTAGCTTAGTCAAAGATTATTGCGTTCAGTCATCGTCAGCCCTGTTTGTGTAGTAGGATTTTGTCCAGTGCGTGGTTGCTGTCTGTCAGAACAGGTTTGTTTGTTTGACAGCAGTGCTTCCTGGACAGTTGTGTGTGGAAAAATAATTTGGATGTTCAAGCTGAGATTTTATCTGGTTAAAATTGCTTTTTCTCCCCCGTAGTAAATAATTAATTCATAAGATGTGATCATTTTGTTCAAAATATCCATAACATGAAAAAAAAAAAAAACTACACATTTAACAAAAAGAAAAAAATTGTACAGGTCTTCTGGACGGGTTCTTCTCTAATGAAACGTTTCATCTCTTCTCCAAGAGACTTCTTCAGTCTGAGAGTTTCAGGCAAAATTCAGGCTTTTAAGCACTGCCTCCATGTGACTGATACTCACATCACATGGCTATCGTTGACACCTAATTAACACTTATTGTTAACAGGGGATAAAGTTTCAGCCTGCCTCAGCAACGCCAAACCACCACCTTCTAATATCAGCAGAGAAGAGAGAG